TGGTACAGGTCATGTGTCTCAGCCGAAAGACAAAACACAGAATTCCCCGCTCTCGTTGGCAAAGAGGTGAGGGCCCCACGTCCTTCTATGCGTGATCCCTGAGCTGAGACACAGGATCCACTCCGCATCAGAAACAAAAATAACTCTCCCCGCAGGCATGGTTCGTCTCCTCTCTTTCCCCGAGGAACAGCATTGGTCTACGTCTGGGGCCCTGTTATCGTTCCCAATCAACGCACGGTAAGTGAGGCCGGTAAGAGTCTCTCTTTGAACTACCTGCTGCAGCAGGCTAAACGTTGATCGGATAACTCGAACCGTTCAGGAAAAGATATTAAATCCCAACACGCAAGTGTTTCACAAAAATTAAGGAGCAAAATATAATTCTAATAATACGTAATCCACTCAAATGGTTTGAGTGCGATGGCAATCGGCTTTGGGCTTGTGGTGCGGCCGTGCTATCTTTAGGCTCCTCCGTTGTCATGACAGGTAGGTGTGGCGGAGTGGAAAAGAAAGGGGTGGAAAGCAACCCTTTGCATGAAAGTTTCGTGATGGATTGAGCTTTGCTAACGGGCTCGTCCACTACGAATCCAATCAAGCAAAGCAACTGATTGAGTAGAAGGAGACGCGTTCGTTCTTTTGGGGTGTTGCAAGATATCCATGTCTCCAATCCTGTCTTTCCACGTCAGCTCTCCGTCACAGCGCAAAAGTTAGTTCGGTTTTCTGTTATCATGGCATTTCTGTATTAGTAAGCTTTTCTGTTGTAGTGACATTTCGAGTGGAATAATAATAAGGTATATTTACGATTGTTGCTAGGTTTGGACGTTCCTTCAAAATGGATAATAAATCTCTCTTTCTTTTAAACATGTCTTTTTATTATGAGTACAATCATCGTCTCTAAAATTAGAGCCAATCAGATAAAATAATTCATTGAAAATTATTATCTTCGAAAAATCATAAATCTCAATTAGTTATCTCTAGCATTTCGATTCTTACCCTTTAAAAAATTACATTGCCATCTCTTTAATTACGAAAGTGAAACATCTAAATTTATTTATCATAATATCATCGATTTTATCAACGAAAATATAAAATAATAAAATAATTTTAACATTTCAATTGGTGATAGTAGACGATATCGATAATGACGGAGGATGACGTCGCTAAGGACCATAGTGTGTGTTGTGAATAAGAAGAGCGACGACAAGAGGTGACAGCACTTTGTATTTGTGTCGGCGTCGATGTAGTTGTCAAGCGATGACAATTGGCATCTGTATCGACAATCCTTTTATCGCTTGACAATTGCGTTGACACTAACGTAGATGCAAAGTAGCCCTTATCTTTCTCCGTTACTCTCCTCATCAATAACACCCTCCTACGACTCCTAGTCATTGTTCTTCTTCACCAATTGAAATATTAAAATTATCTTTTTACCCTTTATTTTTATATTTTTATTGATAAAACTGATGACGTTATGATAAATAAACTTAGATGTTTTACTTTTATATATACGGGAATGTCAATATAAAATTTTAAAATGTAGGGATTAGAATACTAAATATAGCTAAATACAGTGATAACATGTAGTTAGCCCTCTTATTTAACTTAGTAAAATTTATTAACTTTTTAAACACATCTTAATAAGTAAATTTAATATAGATTCTTTTTCAAATGCGTTAGGCATAGAAAGTAATAAATAATCTTCAATGTAGGAGAGAAATCTTCGTGAGGCGCCAAAACATGTTATGGTATCCGTTGATCATGGAAAGAATCTACTCAAACCTGAATACATGTTGGCAAGAAAACTCAAAAAAAAAAAAAGGTGTTATTTCTCATGAGGAATTTATATAAACCTAATGATTATCTACCTTCTATAATTTTCACGTACCAACTAATCTAACTCAAATCCAATATCTATCCATTGTACCTTTAAAGGATGAATTATACCTATTTTTACCTCTAGGATTTGCATATACAATATATATCATGAATTTTCTTTTACCTTTAGATTCAAAATAAGAAGAACATCCATTTCTTTTAATGTAAACTTGCAAAACAAGCATTGGGTGTTCTTCAAAAGATTGATTCCTGCATGAACAAAATCCTTTTTTACAAAATAATATTTTAAAAAAAATTAATATATCTATAATTATTAAATTCATCTTCGCCTTGGAACATCGTTTGCTCTCTCCTCTAACACCATACTATCTTCAATAAATATATTTTTTTAAACATAAATGCCCAATAAATAATAAGGTAAAGTTGAAAAAAAACGTCCAACAAAATATTGGTCATTAATAAATACAAGTGTCTATCATATGCATGTATAGAACATCAACAAAGAATATTAAAAGATTAATAAGAATATGTATTGTATGACACATGTATGCTCACAATAAATAATTTATAATTAACATGTATTAATTATAATAACTCTTATGATCTTTTTAGTCAAATCAAAATAATCTTTCTAAAACAAACATTCTAACATAAGTAGAATATAAAAACTATCTTTTTTGAACAAATATATTATTATACTTGGAAATTACGAGGATATCTTCGTTACTATCCATGATAAGAGAGCACTCATCAATATCTTCTTTTTTTTTCTTTTTTCTCATACAATTTCATTTGATATGTTCATACTCTCTCAACTATAACAAACATTATCTAAAGACTTAGACACTTTGATCTCCACCCACCACACTAAGATTTACCCTTATCAGAAAAATCATCTTTGTTGACCTCTACCCTAAGCAGCTAACGCCTCACCATTCATATTATCATATTTATCTTTTTTCTTTGTAGCATGAGATACTAAATTTTTTTCAACTTGTTTCAAAATTATTATATTCTTTTCGCATTACATCATCTCCATAAAATTGTCACCACAAAATTATCATGGAAGTTGGCAAACAATGCAAGAAGCAAAATCACCTTTTTTACCTAATAAATATTCATGTCATCTTTCATTACTTTATCTAATATTTCTTTGAATATATTCAAATGTTCTACCAAATCTCAACCTTTTTGCCATCGTCATCATATATAACTTCCACTTTAGATACAACTCAATTAGTTAAGATTTTTGTTAGATAAAATTTTTCTAGCTTATCATAAATAATCACAACGAAGTCATTATCAATAACATTATTGATAATATTATCAGTGATACAAAGACAGATAGTACTCACCTCAAGCGCCTCCTGATTTTTGTTGCTCATCTTTTTTGGTTTATCTACTCATCCCTTCAATATTTTTACTAAGCTTTGCTGGACAAGAAGATCTTTCATCCTTTTTTCTCATTAAATTTCTCTATAGTAAAGCCAACGAAAACAATTGATGATATCTTTATTGAATCTCTAATCATTGAATCTTTTGGGCTCTAATACCATTTGTTGAAGGTGAGAAAATTTTTGAAACCAAAAGAATACATACATATCAACAAGTTATAAAAAAAATAAAAAAACTGATAAAAGATTTAATATGGTTCGATAAATCTTATCGTTATCCACAGAAAAAACTAAATTCTTTAATATACATAATCAATTATAAGACTCATGAGTTTTCCTTACGCACATCTCATGTAAATCTTAAAAACTTCTTTATCAACTCTCTTTACAAACGGTGGAGTATCCAAAATATCTTTACCTCTTCTTTTTTTATCGAAACCTTAAGACTCAATATATAATTATAGGAATAAATCTTAATTTACTAAGAAATTTTAATTTAATTACAACTTTATCAATAAATTTAAATATAATTTGGACTCTTAAAAATATTCATCAACCATAAAGAATTGCAATTCGTCTTCGGTAGTAGTGGCATAATACACTACCGTTTTGATTATTATATTTTTTATTGCAATTCGTCTTTGGATTGTAAATTTATTTTGAAACAATCTTACTTGTTTTGATTTTTCATTAAGTTTCTTGTATTATAACTGAGATTTTTTCATGTGATGGTCCCATAATAACCTTTGGGACCTGAGTCGGTTGAATTTATATTAGATGACATGTAACGATTATTCTTGAAATTTCAGCTCATGTGAACCACTTTCGTACTTATTATTAAAAATCTCGATACTCAACCCTATTGTTCAAGATTGAATAATATCAAAATATATCAAAGCAAGAGATTTTTTCCAAATATCTTCCGTCTAAATTCCATACACTCTGAATGAATTGTGATTGATTTTTTTTTTCTTGTGTGTGTGTGTTGTCATTTGTAAATGCCTCTATAATGGCACTTAGCTCTATTTTCCTACATCTACAGTGACTTTTAGGATTTAGAACGTGAACTTTGTTAGATGTCATACTCATCCCAAATATAGACTTGACAAGTGCCAAAATGTTACTAAAATGCATCACAAGTTAGAGATTTTTCCCATCACATTCGGATCAAACATAAGATGCTTCACATTACACTATTTTTGGAAACTAGGATAATTATCTTTTACGACCTCAAAATAAATATGCTCACTTTAAAAGGCTTGTAAATGGTGCAAGTGGTTTTCTAATAATTTTTTATATTAAAATATGATATAAATACATTAAATTTTATATTAAATAATCTGAAATTAAAATAAATTTCGACTACAATCTAAAGCCTTTATATATATATATATATATATATATATATATATATATATATATATATATATATATTGTGGAGCAAAAGATTTAACCTGTCAGTTCAACTAATGACCGTTGGTAGGTTGGTAGGTACTGACGTAATTTTCTGGTCCAGAAAAAGTATCCCCATAAATCTGTTCGCTACCAAAATCCAACCGCAGGAAGCGGAACACGCGACCGACCTTCTCATTGGATTCGCTGTCCGTCAGTGGCGGACAAGTAGAAACGACACGGGCAGCGCTTCTTATACGCGTCCGCCCGTTTTCACCTATCTTTTACCTCTACGTTGACAGGAAGAGCTTATCGGGTCCCACCTAAAACGCCGCTCCTCCTAGCCCAAGCGATCTATCTTCGTCAGAGATAGCAGCAGGTTCTCAGTGGATCAGCAGACAACCGCCGCTGGCGAACATACGCTTCATTACGTATGTGCCTCACGAACCCACCTCTTGGTCACGAGAAATTATATTCCGGCGTTACCTACGCCCCTACCTGATTGGGGAAGATGGACCTGCAAGCGGGCCCCACCCTGCTCTGCGGTCACGGATCGCGCGTACCCTGGCTGAGAGGAGGTGGGATGCGGGAGTGTATATACGATGCGACCGGACTAGGATTCTTGTTTCGATCGGGTTCTCTTCGCCAGAAATATCAGATCCCTTTCCTAAGCTCGACAGCTCGGCGGCCGCTTGATGATGGGGAGGGACGGTGGTTTTGGTGGGTCTTGTCCTTGAGGCTTCGGAGGAGAGTGCTTAGCTAGCTGCTTATGATCGACGAGTAAAAGCTGCGAGGGAGATGTTCGCGAGCCGGCCGGCGGTACACCCCGTGGAGGCTCCGCCCCTCGCGGATGCGGCCGAGAACCCGCTCGGTGTGAGGATGAAGGACGTACAGGGCATGCCGGGGACGCCCGGCGGCCTTGCCCTGCGCCTCGTCCAGTTCGCATTTGCCGTCGGCGCGCTCGGCGTCATGACCTCCACCAGCGATTTCCCCTCCGTCACCGCCTTCTGGTAACTCGCTCTTGCCATTTCGTTTCTTCCCTTCCATTGCTTTCTTCTTTTATTGCGTTGAACATTTATGAAGCCATGACTTGTTTAAAGTAGGCAAATGGATTGTTTATTTATGCTTGGTCCGATTTCGGAATGATTTTTATGGGAACTTTTGATACCTCCATTCTTCCCTACTTACTACTGCACCACTTGTTATATATCACTTGGTTTGGAAGTTCCTCTCTTATGTTTGCTGGCTATGGCATTGCTTCTTACTCTGAGAAAGGATTACAGATACTCCAATAACAAAAGATTGATAGAAAGTAAAATTTTTATTTGCATCAGTAAAGTTATGCTTGATAATGACTTTTTGACAGCTTATCCTGAGCTCAATCCCCTCTTCACCCCTTATCCTCTATATAAAAATAAATAAATAAATAAATTGAAATAACTGGTAACCATTTAGGGAAATGAAGAAAACAAGCTGCATTATAGATTGCCAACATTTCATTTCAATAGAAGATGCTACTTACTGGTAGCGAAGTGGTGGATATGATAGGTGTGTCTACAGAGCGGAGCAGGTTATATGGCCGTGTGATGTTTAGCTGATTAAACTCATTACATTGGTCACTGAGAGGAGAAATATGAAGAGGTGTTTGCATTTTGCTCCTCAAGTTACCATGAAGGAAATGTGGCTTATTTAGTTGTCAATATTAGTCAAGGGATAAAAACAATAGCAAGAGCATTTGATCCATTTTTTAAAATAAATTTTATTAGTTTAGGGGGATTTTTTGCAAGTATCATAGGTTGTTGCCACATGAAACATTTTGTGTTTTACATTGCTTAGATTTGTCTAGGGAGTTGAAGAAACCAAGCTAAATATGGGTAGAAAGGAGATAAATCTTGCGCTTGACTGAAGTTTTATCTGTGACCGAATGTTTCACATTGGTTTGTCCTACTTTTCAAAGATTCATCATGTGTCTGTATTTAAATAAATCATTCACCTTGACGTTATCAATGTTTTTTTTTTGTCGAAGAGTTCTATAAAATAAATATTTTGCGTATATACTAGTCCAGGGATTTGTTAGATTAGCAGCTTCTTTTATTTATTACTAGTCCAGGGATTTGTTAGATTAGCAGCTTCTTTTATTTAATAAATATGGCTTAGTAGTTAGATTATGAATATGATTGAATTCTAATTATGATTATTAGGAATAGAAAGAAAGTCGATAGATTTTTCAGGAGATAGTCTTGATGAAAGGGTCTCTCTTAATTATTTATTCTAGAACCCTTACTCTTACCTATAATTAGATATGACCTCATAGGGACTAAACACACAATGTGTGGATATGTGAATATGTAACATTATTAAAAGACTATAGATCTTCTCTCATTTTCCCTTAGTTACATGAATTAGTTACTGAGAGATTATAGATCTTCTCTCATCTCCTCTTTGTTCCTAATCCATTGCTCATAACAATCATATGAATAATAAGAAGAGAGGAAAAAACGAATTTAGTTCTCTTTGTAGATCGGCATTGCTATAGCTTTTGGTTCCGATGATGGTGCACCCATAGATCAGATAAAAACTTTCTAAATGACATCGAAAAATACACATCATAAATTTAGATATATTATTATTTGATTTCAAATTTTGGTATTAAAGTATTTTACATAACAGAAGTAAAAGGATGGTATTTTATGTTTACAATTAGCATCAGAGTCATATTTGTGAAATCAAATACTTTAGATATATTTGCTAGCTTTCGCTCGCGAAAAGATGTTATTCGATTTTTATTTATGATGCATGGATGATTCGTCTATATTGCTAATTTGGCTTTCTATCTAGTCCATCTTGTCATCTTCTTATAGGCGATGTAAAATTCCTCGTATTTGATTGATGAACCACTGTTGACAGCTTATTGTCGGTGATAGTATGATTAAGGGCGACGGTCTAGTCACAAGCAGTTGTTACAAACCTAGTGCAAGCACTATGGGTTGCGACAACTGCATAGCATCATTGCGTGCAGCGATTGTAACAATGCCATTGCCCGTGGTGACTACATAGTGACACTACCTATGGCGGCATCGCTACATGCAGCGCCTATGGTCGCACCACTACCAATGGTAGGTTTGATAGTATCGTTACAGTGGCAGCACTTGTTGGTCACGATCAGGGTCAACTAGATGTTGAAGGCCACGATTCCTAGTGGCTACGCAGTAGGACGTACGGGCATAGCTGCACACTATGGCAACCGTGGAGGTCGTCGGCCAACATCAAGGGCGTTCCACCTATGAGGAATGTGACAGTAGGGCACGATAATCGATGAGGTTGTTGATCAACTATATGAGGTTAGTTGTCCCATCGCAGGCGACGAGCGGTAGCGACACACAGGCGATGGACGGTTGTTGCACTGTCGACTCGCATGCATGGGCGTGATGGTGATTGTGAAATGTTCTTAAATTCAACTTTAACGATTGTGCCCTTCATAAATTAAATATTTCTATTATATATTCTAAGATAAAATTATAGTTTAATCTTAAGAAATTAAAAATTTTAAATATCCTTAATTCTTGATAAATTGGAGAAAAGTCAAATTTTAACCTTTTTTTACCGTGATTAATTTTAATCTTAACGAGCTTAATTGGGCAAATAATCAACCCAAATTTATGAGTTCAATTTAGATAGCGCAATTTTGGGTCTGCCGATTAAATATTTTAATCAAACTTAACCATATCTATATTTTAACTCTTACTGGACCTATATTTGATTAATAAAGTCTCGATCGAATTTGAGAAAAAGTCAAATTTTGATCTTTTTTATTATGATTAAGTTGAATTTTAATAGGCTAACGAATAGTTGACCCAAATTTATGAGCTCAAATCTAGGTCTGCCAAATTGAATAGAATTGATTTGTATAAGAGTTCTATGCAGAATTAAAAAAATTATGAATTATGAATTTTTTATATCTTTTTGGTATGACATATTGATAAAATTTTGTATGCGATAAATGAAAATCTAATTATTATTCTTGGATATTTATTTGATTATTTACATGAATATATTTAAAATTATAAAAATTATATTTATTTTTCACGTAGAGGTATGATTTATTTTTCACCATGATTATAGTTATCATATGAATTTTTCTTTGTGCTAATTAATATTTAATAATTATGATGATTATTATTATTATTAAACTATTTCGACATAAATTAGATTGAATAAATTTCATAAATATTATTTGTAACTCATATTTTTAAGTTTTATCTAATTAGTAGCTACCAAAGTGGTTTAAGATAATAAGCTTATAAGATGTTTTAAATTGTAAGATATTTTAAATTATATTTTATATTATTATATTGGTATTGTAGTAACTAAAGTAGCTTAGAACAATAACTTATAAAATTATATTAAGAAATTAATCATAAATAATATTAAAAAATAATATTCATAATGACACATATAATTAGAAAATTTAGATAATTACACAGGAGAATATACTTATAATAATTATATAATAGAATATGATGATGATATTTTAGATATCTTTATAATTTAGGATTGTATACCCAAAGGCAATAATACTATTTCATAAGGATGGTATCGATTCTCCATAAATATTTTTTATATAAACACTAGATATATCAAATAGAGATGATATCAATAGATCGACATTTATTAAAAAAAAGTTTAAGATATTAATAGTATTTTATTTTTATTATAGTGGTACTTGATTGAATTCTGATAAATATCTTTATATTTTTTAGATTAAATTATTATAAATGACTTGACCACATGTAATTTACATTAGGTGTATTAAGACTTTGATTAGACTAGTTAAAAGGATCATAGACTTAATTAATAAAAGTTATACATAATAATAATTGAGATAAATGATCGAAAAAGATTTAAAAGACTCGATTTTATGATTATTGTTAATAATATTTAGACCTCATTACAGTAAGCAACTAGTGCACTAGAATATTTAAAGATTAATTTAAATTTATTGATAAGCTATTAGCTAACATATTAATAAAAGAATTGATTGAAATTCAGTATGATAGTATTTGAAAAATTCAAGATTATATTCTCAATATAATTGATATGGTTGTAAGCTAAAGAATATTGAACATAAATATAGTTGAGTCCTTTCTCATATAATTTATTCTTAATACTATTTTTTCTTAATTTGGCTCATTTAAAATATATTATAATAAGATTAAGGATAAGTAAAACTTAAATGAGCTAACTATTATATGTGTTTGAAAATAATTAAAGTTAAAGTAAGAAAGACTCATAATATTTTAAGTACTGCTTAAGGAGTGGGTAACAATAAAAGAAAGTTAAAGCGTAAATCATATAAGTTTATCAATACTATATAAACTCATAAAAGGAAAATCTTCATAGTAGAGTGTTACTTTTATGACAAGAAAGGTCATGCGAAGAAAGGACTATAAAGCTTGGTTCGAAAGGGAAAGATATAAGTTTGACATTTGTATGTTTCAAATCAAATATTACAAATATCATTTTCTAATACTTGGTGGATTGATTCTAATACTTTAATATATGTTACTAATAATAGAGATTTAACCTATCATAAAAATAAAAGAGAATAAAATATTCAACGTTACAAGGAATAATCTTAAAGTGAAAGAAATAGAAGTTGGTACTTATCACCTGCACCTAGAGACGATTTATTTGATAGAACTTGATGATGCATATGCATATTATATTCTTATAATTATAGAAATTTGGGTTTATTATCTATAATTATTAGGATTTTATTTTTTCTTTTTTATGGTTGTAAACTCAATATATTTATGATTCAATAAAAATTAACTTTTGAATTTTGTATGATAATCTTTGTAGAATTAATATGAATATTTAGTTTACAATGATCTTATAATTAAATAATAGAATGAAATATACTTTCATAAACTCCTTGAGATTATATATGCTTATATCTGTAGACCATTTCATATTCTCTATTTTATGGAGAGATATATTTCTATCAATT